TTGGGGCATTACTGTGCACCCAGGGACAGCATGCACACAATTGTCAAAGAAGGAAGATAAGGTTCATCTCAGATCACAGGGGTGATTGGGATCCAGGAGCTGTTTAGCATTCGAACAGAAGATATAAAACCCCAGAAGCTGCAAGCTTTCTAATGTTAAGCTCAAAAAACCTCCAGTAGTTTCACGGTCAGATAACTTACAAACCACACAAGAGGTTTATATGAACTAAAAGCTCTTCAGAAAGTATGGAGAAAAAGCACACATCCAAACCAGTGCTTTTCTCAACTGGGATTTTCTCTTACCTTCTTTTTCTGGATGAAATCTCCCCTTCAGTGGGAAATCATGCTTGAGGAGTCGTAAGGAATTTATATTTTTTTTCTCACTGGTTTCCTACTTCCATTTATTTTTTAAATAGTTGATGTCTGGAGTGTCATACTGAAATCCCCTCTGCAGTTGACTGTGTCTGGGACACGGTGAGTTCAGCCAGAACATCTGAAAGACTGATGGCTCTGGTATCCGAGCCTCATGTAGTATAACTATGTAATCCCATTAAAAATGCCCGTCTGTCCAGTTCTGGGGCCTTATCCCCATCGCTATCACTGTGGACACAGCATTTTTCAGTCACTGATGGACAATGACTGAAAATTTTTAAGCTTATTATCTAGCAATTGGGTATCTCTGAGGGATTTTTAAGATTTCAAGAGCATTCTGGTGTTTCAGCAAGAAAAAGGTTTCTTGGGAGATTTGTATCCTTAACCTACCAAGCCATTTCTGAGAGCACCTCTCAGGCTTCCCCCACCAGAGAGGTCACCGCAGATGCCTTTGTAGCTGTGCTGGTGTCCTCTGCCAGACCCTGGACCATGGAGATTGTGCTCTTCTTCAGTTGCATTTTTGTGTGCATTTGCTACGTTCTGCACTTGCAGAGAAAGTAATAAGGGAAAATCATTCAAGCCTATACAAATTTGTCATACATGGGTGTGTATGGTGGCTACAGGCCAAAATTATTTGCTAAAAACTTGAAGAGCCTCCGAGCTAGATAAACAGATGGGTATTTCCTAAGGACAGGAAGGAAACAACTTAACTTTGTCGTACCTTCACCTTCTCACATGCTCTGACAGTCTAATTGGCTTTCTTACCCAGATGGAAGCATCAGAAATCCTGATTACCCATTGTTCCCTTTTCATGCACTCAGCATTTATTGTCTCCTCTCCACCATTCAGCTCTTCCTCCTCTGGAGGAGCCAGCAGGATATAGATTATGGCATGATTATATTCTTCTCTAACCTGCATTTTAGGCAGCTATCAGTGTCAATCCAACTATTTATGCCATTGTAATCCTACGTGAAGCAAGGCACTCAAATGTTATGTCTGAGTAGGTGTAAAATAGCTGGAATAGTGTCTCTTATACAGAGCCGAGTCTACTTCTCACTTCTCTTTATATCTCACCCCTCTATCTGCCTGAAAAAATATAAACTACTCAAACCTGTCTTAGTTTGCAGATTTCACACTTGATTCTTCCTGTAGTTCATCATAGAGTAATTATGTCATATTTAAAAACTAATAACACATCTCAAATGCTCAACCATGTGGCTGCACCGTAAGTTAGAACTTGATGGTTGCAGTAGGTCAGAGCAAGGTTGCTTCAGCTCAGCACCTTGTCTCTGGCCCTGGCCAACAGCTGATACTTAGGGGAATGAGAGCAGAACATTACCAAGCACACCCCAGTTGATAACCCCAGCTCTGACAGCATGAGTGTCAGGGTCATCTTTGGGTTTGACAGTTCTGGAGAGGCTCCCCCAGCTTCCGTGCCCAAATGGTCTAATCTTTTAGAATCTATTGATATTTTTCACATTGACACCCACCTGTGACAGAGAGCTCCACAGCTTCATTATTTGGTGAATAAAAAAGTACTTTCCTTTGCTCTAAAGTTTCACTTGGTGTCTCCTACTTTTGGGGTTATGAAAAATATTTAGTCATTGTCCCTTCTTCAGCATGACATTCAACGTTGTTTCATCATACCCCTTTTCTCCGTCATCTCCTTTCAAAAGTGACAAATCCTAGTCTATTTTCTCTCCTTGGATAAAAGCTGTTCCATACCTTTGATCATAATTTTTGCCCTTCTCTGTACCTTTTCTGGATATAACGCTTTGCTTTCTGAGATGGTGATGGGGAGGGGAAAACAAGAACTGCATGCAGAATTCAAGATGTGAGTGCACTATGGATTTATAAAGTGGTAATGAGGGTTTTTGTTCTATCCTCTATTTCTGTCTCAGTAATTCCTATGATCCTTTTTGCTTCTTTGACTACCGCTGAGCAGACAGGCTTCAGAGCGTGCTAAAATGTAGAACCTATTCTTTATGACTAGTTTCGTGTCTTTTAATGAACTCTCCTAATCTGGGGGAAAAGACAGAGTCCCTACCTAGCTACACCTGGAACAATGCCCAAGGAGTCTGTCTAGTAGGACTGGGAGGATATTAGTGCTCTGAGATTTCAGTGAGCTAACAGCTTGCATTTCCTTTCATTAGATGTTTTTCAGGCACTTAAACTTTAGCCCCACGCAACAGCCGTGTGAGGTAGGTAAGAATCACTAAATGAATTTCACAGATGGAGAAATGGAGACGGAGAGATTTGTCCAATTCACTTAGAAATTGTCACAAAGCCAGGAACAGACTGAGAATGAGACCAGTCTTTCCTTCTACCGGTTGCTGCAAGTGATACTGCTGTCCTGGGGACTGTTCTCACCTGGGGCTCCATGGCCACACCATGTCTTATGTCTTTACCCCTGCAGTTTGCAGTCTTTACCATGCCATAGAAAAACAAGAATCCCTACTCCAGAAAGTTGGTGGGCAAGTACACCATCCCATCCCATCCCATCCCATCCCATCCCATCCATATCTATTCTTTCAGGCTGTAATACCAGTAAAGTTACAAGTAAAGTAAGGCATGAAGTAGTTTTGAACTGTCCTATTTCTCCTTTTATTATTTCAGACTGGATCATGTGCAGTAAATCACAGAATGGTTTGGGTTGGAAGTGACCTTTAAAGGTCATCTAGTCCACCCCCCCTGCAATGAGCAGAGACACCTTCAACTAGATCTTTCCACCCAAATTCTCAAGGGGCATTGCCACACTAAGGTTTTGATGGTAGAGGTATACAGTGACCCATGGGCCTGATTCTGGAAGATGCTTAGTGCCCTCAGGACCTCAGTGAACCTACCTGAGATTTCATACCACCTGGCCTTTTATTCCTACCCAGTTTTAGTGAGAAGGCCTGGATGGTTCAAGGAGCTGACAGTGCATTATAAAGCCTTCCAAATAGACATCGCTGGCTCAGATCAAGCACAGGTAGTGACTGGAAGTTATTACTATTACCTATCAGGTTGTGAAATGAGTTTTGTGGAGTAAGTCAACAGGCACCCTTATCACAAACTGTCCTTGCTCGTGGACACTCTCTTAACCAACCTCAGCAGCGAATACAGCAGCTAAATGAACACGGATACTGAGATATGTCCCCAGTTGTTCTCCTGCTAGAGCAAAACATGCATTGGCAGGGAAACTTATGAAAAGTTGTACTGAAAATGATGCTGCTACACTTTTCCTATGGGAAAGGAGCCTAATATTGTCAGCTTGCACTTTGGGGATTTATCTGCGATAGTGCCAGATGAGAGAAAAATGTCACTACCAGCATATGTCACCTTGGCATACCTGACTACCTAAAAACTGGGATACAACTCTGTGAGCTCAACAACCATAAAAAGAGCACATTAGAGAAGAAAGAAAATTCATTTAATGTGGAAAAGAGTAATTTCTCTTGAGAGTTCTTAATTTATTTGGTAGCTCTGATAAACAAAAAGGACATCAGTGCAGACCCTGTCCCACAGAGTGCAAACTTTCCCTGTGGACCTTGCAGGAATACAACCCCTTTAATGAAAATATTGCTTTATATTTCTACAGACTGTGAGAACAACTGCTGAACACAGACTACCATGGTCCATGCAAGGGGTTAACTAGAGTAAACTTGTGGCAGATGCCAGATACATACTGAAGCACCCATAAAACATCTCTACATGTAGAATGAGCCACAGGAACCCCATCCCCTACAGCAAACGGGTCCCTGGGACAGGGAGAGGGGTCCTGGTAACAAGCTCTCTTTGCTGCTGTCTATCCCAGAGCTCCCTTCTAAAAGCTTTGAGAACACCACTATTGCACAAAATGCAAAATCAAGGGCAAAATAACTCCAGCTACTCATGCTGTTTGTAGATAAATTAAACAAACCCAGAAAAGGTTGAGACAGCTGGAAATGTGACAGGAAAACTGGGTTTTCCAGGGAGAACACTAGAGCCAATTTACAGTTAATTACTGTGATTTGGAACAGCTCTGTGAGTAAATACCAGTCTCTGATTGTCCAAGTAAGGAAGATAATTGTTTCCTGAACTGTGTCCATTGTGTATTTAAAATGTTGTCAGCCTGTTCCTTTCTCAAACCCAGAAGAGGTTTGGTTTTCAGCAATGTAGATCTGCTACTCTTCTGTTAACAAGTAGCTCAAATCCTAACGCTGAGCATCGTACCCGCCACGAACGCAATTTATTGAGCTCCACTGCCACGTTTATAAAGCAAACCCTCCTAATGATGAGGCTGCTGTACAGTGCATGAGTTCACAGCTGCAAAGCAGTCCTGGCATCACTGGTGAAACAGCTTTGAGGATAAGGAAGAGTGGAGGGTCACCAGGCACTTGCCAGCCCAAAAATGTGCCAAGCACCACACTGCTGCAAAAGGGTATAGACAAGGATGGGCAGCAAGAGAGAAGGGATGTAATGGAAACACCACAAATTGCATGATCTACTTCTTTTTATCTCTTTAGATGGAAAAAAAAAAATTTACAGAGATTGTATCAACATTTGAAAAATGGATATTGACACATTCATTAAATGGCAACCCAAAAACTCAACGGGTACTAGGATGGTTCCTTAAGGAGCTCAAGTATTATTGAAATATTGGCTCACCTGAGTCCAGAGCAGGCGCTGAGACTGACCGAGGAGTCGGGGTCCCCTCGCACATTGCCATGGTAATAGCAGTGACCCTGATTGTAGAAAAGAGAAAACATGTCAATAGTCATAAACACCCTCTGCTCTCTAGTTTCCTCATGGGTTTCCACCCTCTTTATTTTCAAGAGATTATCAGTTTCAGGCTACAGCATTCAGGACCACATCCACAGGACCTTTCCTGCCCCACTAAATATTCACCATCCTTAACAGTCCAAATGGTTCCTAAATGGGAATCTTGGTGGTTTTTTAAACCCCAAAGTGTAGGAGTGGGGGTTTTTTTGTTTGTTTTGTTTTGTGTTGTCTTTTTTTAAAAGAGGGTCAATGTTGTTTAAATTGCATGACTGACCACCTTTTTCTGGGTTATTTTATTTAAAGTTACAATACGGAATATTTTATAAAATTAATCAGATGAACAAATCAGCTGACACATTTTACTACTTTCTATAGACACATATTTTTATTTAAGGTCATTTACATCTGTGTATGGCTATAGGACATAAAGCTATGTATGTCCTTTAGCTGTGTATAAAGGGAAGTATAAAAAAAGTCAATTCCAACCCTATAGTTGGAAAAAAAAAATCACAGAGCAAATGAAGGGGAAGAGAAACAGGTTGGAAAGGAAACCTTTTATTAAATTACCCAACCGAGTGGCTGCATGCTATTAAGAATAATCAAGAATAAGAGGGTCTTCTATTTTGAGAGGCAACAATCCAATTTCATTTTGCGGCTGGGTTATTGTATTTCCTTAATAATCCACTGCTTGCAGAAGGCACCCACAGCAGAGATACTTTCTCAGCTCATACACATATCTGTCTGGAATCAAGGTTAATTTTATTGTTGACTAAAGGTTATATTACATTCCCAATTATGTGACTGGCTGGAAAGCAATGATTGTGTCACGTCCAGCATTTCTTTTCTCCTGGCTCCTTTGAATGCCACCTGGAAACTGAAAGCACTGTTGTAAAAGGTTCCTATCTTATTAGTGCAAAGGAAAGTTATCACTCATGCTTCAACCTGTCATCTCACTGTGCCTTTTTATTACTTGGTTCATTCACATCCATCTAGCTGCATTAATTAACCTTTTCAGTTTTGGGGCATGGTTTTCATTTATAAAGCCTCACATCTCAGAATTCTAAAGACCGCCTTGATTTTGTTAAAGAAAGCGATAGCCATGAAAATGCTGGGCAAGATGGAATAATTCAGATATGAATTTTCTGCAAATAAGGTTATACCATGAAAAATATTTGTTTAGAGCATTTGTATTTCCAACATGAGCGACTGAACACAGAACAGCAGCATCAGACTTTCGAAATACAAATCTCAATAGGTTTTCTCAGTGACAGAAATGACAGAAACAGGGTAATAGTATTTGACTCTTGGGTATTTTTATCATCAGTACTCATAGACAGTCAGTAACATATTAGCAAGGATAAAACCACAATAAAAGAGAGGAAGTCATAGACTGAATTTTTTGGGGTTGATTGCTTCGGTCACAATTGTTATAGATGTCAAAGTCTTCAGCATTAGAGTATTATTTTATTTTATTTAATATTATCCGTTACATGCATCCAGTTGATAAGACAGAAGGAAAAACAACACCCCTCACCTCAGTACTAACTTTCATACAATGACCCTGAAAGACTCCAAAACCAAAAATAAAGTAGGTTTATTCTTGTTACTTAAAGTAAGTATAAGGCAAAGGTGCAGTTCAGGGTTCTTAAGTCAGTCTTTGGGGTTGAACATCACCAGTGCTAAGCACAGTCCCCAGTGAAACGAGGAGGAGGAGCTGGTATCTCACCCCACTCAGGTTGCTGCTACCGTTCAGCTGGCTTTAGCAAAGAATCAATTCTGGCAAAGGTCCTAATTTCTTTCCCTCTCCACACACAACTTGTCTTTTTATTAACTTTGAGCTCCTTGTTGTGGCCCATTTCACAACTTCTCTCAGATCCACGTGCTGTATGATGCCAAAGTTTAATACCGAAAATGTAAACTTATCAGACCATGGCCTGCAATTGGACTGGTAGAAAATTGATTTCTACCTCAGTAACTCCACTGAACTGCAGGATTTTTTTTTTTTTTCTCCTCTCAAATCTTTTTATTCCTGTAAACTAGTATATAAAATGGATGACCCTCTAAAAATAAATAATTAACCATGGCTGATTTTTCATACTTAAAACAGTACCCTACCCTTACTTGAGATCATTTAATAAATACCAGCTTTTGATAACTGCCATTTTTTCAAGTGCTATAAACCAAAAAAATTAACCTGGACATTGACTCGTGTGCTAGAGAAACTCCCCACATGCCAGCTCCACAAACCTGACTTGGTCTGACCTCCAAGCAAAATTTGACTAAGCAACTTTTCAATGGGAAATTGGATCTAGTTTCAACTACATTGACGTCCTCAGTGAAGAAGAGATATAAAAATAAAAAAAACAGAGTTATCTTTTTTAAACCATATTGCAGCATTTAATAAAAAAATGAACTTGCTGATCTCTCAAAACCAAAAATTTTAGGCAGCAAAAGGTACTGTCAGCATTAATCATGACCTACTGCCATTATGAAAACAGGTATTTTTTTTTTAATACCAGAAAGCCTAGCTGTCTTTAGCTGTACGCTTATTCATGTTAATGTAGGTAAATCTGTCAAAGACTTGTGTGCTTCAATCCTTTCCTTTTCCTTCCTTTAGAAGTCTATAGAGCCTTCTTGTTTCTAAAAAAAAATGACTATTTTCCACGAAGCTGATTTTGAAGAAGATACGAGCATCCGGCATAAAAGAAAACACTGAAAGCTTTCAAATGATTCCTGTACTTGGGAGGTCTGGGGCTATAATGAAGATGCTTTTTCAGAAGTAACATGTTATGCATAGCAATAACGCCTTTCACTGATACCAGCAAAGCCCATTATGGATAAAAACACAAAGCACGATGCCTCTTCTGACAGCATCAAGAAATAAGTAACGCAACATGACAAATACTTGATAGGACTTAGGCAGATAAAAGACAAACTTTGTAATTAAAATCGTTTGCTGCATTGTTTCTAATGAAGGAGTTCATATTGTCAGAGGACAAAAACATTACTGCCTTAATGTAATTTTTATTTTTAAAAAGCAGTTTTTAACTACTGATTTTAATGAGGACCATATTAGACATATTTTTTTATATATATATATATATATATACACACACACACATAAATATACACACACATACATGCATATATATATATATACACACATATATAAACTATGCCTATACATATATGCATATATAAAGTGTGGCTATAACAGTCTTATAGTCTGTTTTGAAAAATAAACCCAACCAATCAATCCCCTGTCCCAAACCCCAGCCATGGCTTCCCCAACACAGAAAGACACTCAAGCCTCTGTTCTGAGCTTCTGCACTATGGAGATCAAATATTTAGGCTTTCTCCCTAACTGAGCCAAGACTTTCCTCCATAACTGATCAACAGTGGCTGCATGTATTATAAAATTTTAATGGGTATATTTCCAAGAAGCTGAATAAAACTTACAGATTTTAAAAGTCACCTAGTTCAAACCCCACAGCTTGCCTTTAAAGATTCTCTCTAAAAATTCACGTGTAGGATCACAGCAGCCAAAAAGGTACTGAAGGCAACAATAAAAAAAGATCACACATCTATCTGTTTCATCCCGTGGCTCAGATCCCGGCAGAGAGCACTTTGGGTTTTAACGATGAAGCATCATCTACCCACGAAACGCCAACCTTACCGTGTAATTGCGTGCGAGAACCACATCAGTGCCGTCTTTCAAATAATGTGTTTCTGTGAAGCTGCTGGCTAATAGGCCCCTGAAAAAAAAAAAATAGAGCGCACGTCATATGAAGGCCACATCACCTTGACTTTGTCCTTTAGTGGTTCTGTTTGAGATAGTGATCAAAGCCAAGCGTTAACGATACAATGACTACCGGGGCTGTGTGCGAAATAAGGAAAAATACAACTCTAAATACTGAAGCTGCAGTACATGAACACTTCCTTCGTTAATTGTGAAAAAAACTACAAGTTTCCAGACTGCTCTCTCATCCAAATGAGGACCGAATGCCAATGCATTCCATGTAATTTTCAACAAATTTTACAATAAATCTGAAATCTAGACATTTGGAGTATTGTTAAGTAATGATGGTTTTTGAAAAAGGAAAATCTTTTCCCTCTTTTATTTATTTTACTAAATAATGTGTTGTATTCATCAGCAAGTGAACACCTAAAGACTAGTTTAGGTCTTGGTAAACTAAACAAACTTCTTCCATTGACACTCAAGGAAAAACCACTACAAGAACATTACAGAAGTTCCAGAGTAGTGGATTTATTCTGATCATCTGAAAAGGATATTCACAAATGGAAATGTAACAACTTGAAATGATCCATCAGCAGACAATGAAAGACCATGTCTGTGATGAGACATTTTGTTCACATTCACTCCACACTTCTCCTCCTGCCTTTAGCAACGACATAAAAAAAACCTGACTTGCAATTACCATTTTCCAGAAATCTCCAGAGAGGCACATGAAATGACAAGTATTAAAACTTTTATTTTTACAGTAAACTCATGGAATAGGGAAAGCAGTATCTGCCTTTTTTTTAAAAAAAAAAAAAAAAAAAAAGTCTTGCTATTGATCTGTTTTTCAACTTATCCAAAGAGCATTTCTAACAAGGTCAGAAGGAAAAATAAGTATTCACATTTACTCCCAATATAGGTGTTAAGCTACGTGCCTCAATACAAATGTACTTGAGTTTTGAGAAACGCTCTAGTGAATTGTGAAAGGACAATATAGAAGAAACCAAAGACAAATGCCACCATCATCTTCCAAAAACTGGTGAGTTTAGACTATTGAAAATCTCTGGCATGGCATTTCCCAATATTCTGTTTTAGTTCAAAGGAGCATTTCTCCTTAAACAAACCAGGCCCTTTCTTTTATTTAAACCTGCACTCTTGCATACATACTAGCGTGAACTAGTACATAGTCTCAGTACACATTTCTTGCACTTTGTATAAATATTAAACCTAGAACATGAACAAACATTTAATTTTCATTACTGATTTATTTGCATCATATTAATATCCAATGGCTCAGTCATGATCAGGATCTGGTTGTGCTAGGAACTGTACAAACACTTATTAGAGGGAAAATGCATCTTTAAAAGCCTCTATCTTAAAGCAGGAGGAAAAAAATGCTGAATGAAACAAGAATAAAAAAGAAAATAAAAAAAATAAGGAAATGGCATTGTAAAAAGATGAAGATAGCAAAGCCCCAACATAATGAGTATTCAAGCACAGATTCTCACTTTACATTTTTCAGCTTGTGGGAAATATTAGCATATTAATAGATACTGAATGTTAAAACACTGCAGTGTTTGGTGGGTTGTACATGAACTGCTCTGGATCTCAGCCAACCACCACACCTAGAGCAGGATTTGGTTGCCCAACCAAACATCTACTGTTGATTTAGATAGTCTATACCTTTCACCAACCAGCTCCATAGGGACACCTCAAACCTCACTATAGTGTCTCAGATGGCACTTGACACCAACGTCTATCTCACTTCTTGTACCTGCAGCCTCTGGAAGGTCTGCCTGAAACTAAGTGTGCTGTGTCTATGTTTCCTTCTCATTATCACAAAGAGCAGCTGCTTCCTTAATTATCATTATTATTTATATAACAACACTGCTAAGTTCTGCACTTAGCAAGCATTAATTACTCTTGTAAAGGCAAAAGGTAAGATCCCATCGCTGTTGAAGCCACCGGAGTCCTGCTGTGTACTTTTTGGAAATAGGATTTCATCCAGGATCCCAAAGTAATTTTTATTTAATGGGACAATATACAGGCAAGGGATAGGGTAACAGATGCAGCATAAGGGCAAAGTGATTGAGCAATATACTCGCTTTGTGCTCTGCTATTGCCAAAGTGTTTGACAGCAGTGATGACAGAGGTGACCTTTCTGCTTCTGTTCATTCTACCCTCAGGCACAGATTTAGAAAATACTTCAGAGATTCACAGGTTTTAGTACCAGAAGGGAGCGCTGTGGTCAGCAATCTGACCTGCCGCATGACGTAAGTCATTTGACTTGAATTAATCTTCTGATACAATGACTGTGATGGGACCAGATCCATTTTCTCACTGCGTAGAGCCTTTGTCTAGATCTCCCGTGACGAAGAAGCTATCACAAACCTGGGAAGTTTTCAACAATTAATTATGCTCAATGGAAAAACACTGCACTTTGTATCTAGCTTGACTGTCAATGTTTGATTTCCAACCACGGGATCTCATTCCCTAACGTCAATACTTCATTTTCATTTGAGTCTTTCATGGACAGTTTTATTTACTAAAGTGAGGAAATAAATTTTCCAGGTAAACTAAGACCTGGTGTAGCTGTCACCAGCCTCCCTATCAGGATGAAAGTTTGCTATCTACCCTGATGAAAATACCAGATGAATATAAGAATTCACAGTGTCAGGAGGAAGAGAATGGCAAGAGCACTGAGATGATGGAATCCCACTATTGAACTAATCTAATAAAATAAAAAGTATGCCCCAATGTAAAAGCCAAAGTAGAATTCCAAATCATGGAAATTTCATGTACCACTGAAGGACCTTTTTAAGAAAATTAGAGAATTTTTCAGGAGTCTGCATTAACACTCCTTCAGTTTAGTAACTAAGACATCATCAACGAGACATCGGTTTTCCTGCCACGTATGGCACTAGTGCTAGTTTGAGAGCAAGGCAGAGGAATGGTTTTCTGCACACTGTCGAGGCTGGGGACCTCTACAAGACACGTCACCAGGGAGTCCAACAATTTCTGGCAGAGAAAGAAGCTGTTATCCCCACTTTCAAAATGTCTAATATCTTAAAAGCTGTCTAGCTGTATAAGCACGCAGCATTAGTATCCAGGGACAGCACATCATCTAAAAGCATTTTATTTTTAAAGGTTATGAAAACTAAGCCTAACAAGCACTCAAATTCCACAATGGAGTGCACACCACTTCACTTTCCAATTATGGCAATACTGTTTAACACACTAAATAATGAATGCAACATATGTATCTATTAGGTAATTTAATTACCTCCTCCAAAAAGATATGCAATGTAATATATTGATTTACATTTCTAGTTTTTGACCCCCAGTAAAGGAGATTAATAGAGGAAAGTAAATTAATTTAGATGGCAAGCTACTTAACCTAATTGGATCAATGTAATTCTAAAAAAGAGGGGATCAAAATAACATTAATATATCATAGTGCAATTCATCACCATGTCTGGAGTTTCAAATGTCATCAGCTACAATGCTCAGCAGTACTAGATTATTATCAATTTTTTTGCACTGCATGAAGAGGCAGAAACAAATGCTATCGAGAACTACATCAACTGCTGGAGATGATGAAAAAGAATCAGTTGAAGCAACACCACAACTTTCTCCTTTATTCTCTGAAGATACAAGAGTGCAGTTTTTGAGTCAAATTACTTAAATAATTAGTCACTGTGTTTGTCAGCATCGCGGATTTTTTTCTCACTTCCCAGAGCCAAATTAACAAGTAGAAGCTTTGATGGCCCAAAAGGACAAGTCTTATCCCTTCTGATTTATGACAGACACAGCACAGGCTTCCTCATCCTCTGTAAATC